ATTCTTTTTATTCTTCTGTATATTTTTTTCCTATTTCTTTCTCCATATACTTTGGATTTACTGATTCTCCCAAATATTTGCTAACATGGATTAATATCTTCTCCCTCCCTTCCACCCCACCATGACTGAGAGAAAATAAAAGCTGATTTAACTAAAGAAGCTTAAGAAAATCTTTTATTAAAACTTGCAGAATCCTAAAGGAGATACCTGGTAGTAGACTTTGCATCTGGTAGAGGACTAAATACATCAATGGACATTAGGTGAAATTTGCGAGATTTGATAAGATTTAGTTTTATAGTGAGGATACTCACTATGGAATAAATACTGTAGGAATACAATGGACTCTTTAGAGTCTGAAGTTTCTTAAATTGAAAATAGAAATCATTTAAAGAAGAGAAGGCCTTCCAGTACTCGAAGGAAGCATATAAACAGGAGGGAGTACGACAGTTGAGGATGGATAGCAATAGGACAAGGAGGAATGGTTTTAAACTGGGACAGGGGAGGTTTAGGTTAAATATTAGGAGGAGTTTTTCATGCAGAGGGTGGTGACACACTGGAACAGGTTGCCCAGGGAGATTGTGGAAGCCCCATCCCTGGAGGCATTCAAGGCCAGGCTGGATGTGGCTCTGGGCAGCCTGGTCTGGTGGTTGGTGACCTGCACATAGCAGGGGGGCCAGAGGGGTTGAAACTCAATGATCATTGTGGTCCTTTTCAACCCAGCCCATTCTATGATAAACTATTGTGTTAGTAGGATTTTACAAATTAATTTTGAATAATATAATTGTGTTGTCTGTGTTATAGCAGTAGCCAGCATAAATTATCATCTAGTTCTCAATAACTTTAGATTCTACAAATTTAGAGTTAAAGCTCTGTCAGGTGAGAAAGAACGTATTAGGTTAAGTAAGGAAGATAAAGTAAGAAGAACAGAAGGCCTGATCATGAATGGCATTGTGACAGAAGTCCAGTTATTCATTTACTATACATCTGCTCAGAAAATGTTGCATAGGTCTGACAGTCAGTTAGCTAATAGGAGGAAGATGTTTACTTTGAAAATAGGAAGTGGGAAGGGATTTTAAAGGCATATCTGCACCCTGCAATGCAAAATTAATTAGCCTGTGAAAAGTGTGATTGTAATGAAGTTACTAGGGCTATAGCTAGCGTTTCTCCATAGTATTTAAAGACATTTGAAAGTATTAATAAATCTAAAGAATAGCTAAATCAAGTAGGTTCATTTTGGGTTTTCATTTTATTCATTATTTGATAAGTTTATAGTAGTTTGGTTTAGTAGGCTTTTTTTTTTTATAACAGTGAAAGCTTTTCTACCTATATTGTTTTCCTTTTAAACAATTGCAAGATTCATTTTAGAAGATCGTTAAATTTCTGATTTTTTTTCATTCTCTACTTCAGACATGATAGTAGAGATAACTTGCTGTGTATTTGTCTTGTCACTTTATAATAAACTTGATATGTGCAGTACTTACACTGAAAAATCCTTGCTTTAAAAATGTGATTTTTTTTTTCAAATTTGGTCTTAAAAAAAAAAAAAAAAAAAAAAGTATGAGAAATACTCTATCCTAAATATATAACTATTGCAAATTTGTAAGTCTGTACCTGGATATTATTGTTCTAGAATAAGCATGGCCATAGAAAATTGTGATTACTAATGTACTGGTAAATCATATTATGTAAACAAGTTAATTTGCATCATTTGCAACTATTGTGCACTACACCAAGAAAGGATAAGCTGGCCTAAGCTACCAGGTTAACTCTCCCTCTGTGAATATAAAAGAAAGCAAAGTAGAAAACAATAGAAAAATCATGTTAACATGTTAAAAATCTTATATATATATATATATATATATATATATATAATATATAATCTTTTTGCTCTACAAAGAGAAAATAAAATTGTAACTTGATTTCATAGTAATTAATTCAATATTCTATATTATATAAATTATTTATACTTCACATAATATATTTATACTATATAATATAAAGTGAAGACTTTTTACTTCGGTAATTGAAATCAAGCACTTCAAGATCCATAGGTTTCTTAACTAAAATGTGCTCAAAACAAGTAATCAAGTAACTTTCTTTCTTTTAGTTGTTCTTAATGTATGTTCCTTTTGATGAATAACAGTACAGAACAATCATGAGATAACAGAGCCAAACACAGTCATTTAAAGTACTACTCTTGGTGAAAAAAAGTCAAACTGAAGAATCTCACAGGTGTTCATCAAGGTGTGGCTGTGGTCTGTCAACTCTTCTCATTTTCTCAAAACTGCAAAGCTTTGTGTGCCTGACAGAAATGTTTGAAAGCGTCAATGGTTTACAGGCTGGTTTGGCCCGGTTCCATGACCAGTGGGGCGGAGGGATTTTGGAAAATCCACACCTCCGGAAAAAGGGAAACAGGGGACCCCAAAGTAATTAAAAACAGCAGCAACGATCTGAGGAGAAACAAACTAATTTACTAAATATAGTATCAGAATGCAAGATAACACACTATAATGCAATGTAATTAGAATTGCAGCTAATAAATCAAATGAGAAAGAGAATGTCTGAAAGGTGGATAGGCCTCACCATAATGCTGAAGTGAGATGCGCAGTCCAGTTGAGCAGCAGGGAGACAGGAGGAGAGCCAACAAAGAAGAGCCAACGAAGAAGAGCACATCAGGTGACCTTGCCATAGCTCCTCTCTGACCGCAAAACTCCCTGGGGAATGTAGTTCTCTTCTGGACAGGTACCAGGAACTTGAGCATTATCAGTTAAACTCCCAGTGCACTACATGATGTTATGATGTGGAATACCGATAACCAACAATCATAAAATCAAGACAGAAAGCTAGTTTGCAACAGGATTTACTAAACACTAACTTAAAAAATGCAAGTTGTACTAAGAAGCAGAAGCACTGAAGTGAGCTGTGTACCATTTTGAAGCTGTTTGTATTCTAGTGGTGCATATTAGCAGACCTAGAACTTCTTGTGTAAGAGAAATTACTTGGGCCTCAGAATCATTTTTCCTTGTTGATCTTGCTATGAACATTTTCATTCCTAAGTAGGATTTGCTCTGTTAGTCTTAAATGATGAGTAAAGAAGGAGTGGGAGCTTTGGAACTAAACCATTTGGCGCTGGAGCTATATGAGCATTGCTTAATGTGTGGATTGAGGACATGAGACAATTACAGAGTAATAGACATTACAGATGGAAAAAGACCTGTTAGGTCATCCAGTCTGTCTCTTTACCAATTCAGGACTATTCCCTATAGAACATTTCCAACAATTTGTCTAGATTGGTTTTAAATATCCCAAATGATGGAGATTCCACTACTTCCCTTGAGATGCTTTTGTACTGCTTTGCAGATCTCACTGCCAAGTAGTTTTTCACAATGCTTAGCTGCAGATTTTTTCAGTACTTACTTTTTTATAACTCTATGTATTTTGTCTTTTCTAAACAGTTCTTTAATAATTCAGAATATTAGTCATATAGATATTAAAATTTTATTTCTATCTCAGTGACTGTGTTTCCTCTTAATCCTCTACAGTGAAATTGTGCATTTTTAATTTTCAGAAGGTTTTTTTTTACATGTCAACTTTGCCAGCTCTCTAATTATTTTCATTGGCCTTCTCAGTACACTTACTCTATCATGGTGCATATGAACCCCTCTTCATAGTGACCCTCTTACCATTTCCTCATGGACAAATGCTAGGAAATACTCTGGATATGTTGATATAAATCACTCTGAATAAGATTTCCATATACAAATTCTAAGATAGTTAATTGTGCATCAAGGGAAGAAGGAATATTCACAGTTCAACTATCGAGTGTTCATGTATGTACATTATTGGTGCTCCTTTGGGACAGTATATTAGCAATGTAGCAGTAAGACCTGAATGCCTAAATGAGTTTTTGCTGAACATTTCCAGGTATAAACTTTACACTTGCCTAGAACAGGTGTAGGTTACCACTGTTACAGACATTTATAAACTAATGTTGTGATGCTTTTTTGGGAATTAGTGTTTCCTGATGATTGGTTCCTTTCCTACAAGGTTTTGTGAGGTTGATGGCTAGTGTAGTAAGGGAGAGTAGTTGTGTTTTGTATTTATACTTATTACAGACACTATTTCTCACATGCATTTGTTACTTGAATGTGTGATTAATTCATTATACTCAGTCAGCAGTTTGACTAGTGTCTCGCTTCAATTTATAGGAGGGAGAGGAGGTTGTTTTTAATATATGTATACCTGGCATGAGATTAAGAAACAATGCTTTAGATGTTGGTCCGACCAGTTTATCATAAATCCTAATCAGGGAGATGGGGAAGGGAAGGACAGTGACTGTTACGAATTAGGGTGACGGGGAAGGGAAGGAGAGCAATAGAAAAGATAGGAAAGAAGCAAGAATCACATAAAGCAGGGATAGTCACCACCAGGATCCAGCAGCAGTCCCGCTGCACGATGCTTCGAAGGTCCGAGGCAGAAGCAGCTGGGGGAGAGCAGCAGCGTGGCTGGCTTTGGGCAGCAAGCAGGTAGCAGGTAGCAGAGCCAATCCGGGAGGAAGCAGCAGGACTCAGGTAGCAGGCCCAGGAGAGTCCGTCAGCATGCAGGGATTCTGTAGTGAGGAATCTGATGGCAGACACCTTTGTTCTTCTTTAGCATCATGGTGGAGCACAGAGCAGGTCCAGGAGGGAGAGAGGCAGGTCGTGAGGCTTCTCATGTCAGAAACCTTGTCTTCTTCATGAGGAATCTGTTGCCCGTACACCTCATGGCTGTAGGTCCCCTTTTTATCCTTCTTCTGCCATCGTGGCATTCCTGGACACTTGGGTAAGAGTCATGTGCAGCACCTCCTGAGATGGCCATCTTCCTTGAGATAAGTCCACACAAAAGACTGCTTCCTGGCCACTAATCTGTGGTTTCTCTCTCTCTTGTTGCCCCTGGCCTTGTCCATCTGTGTACTTCAAAGGATTTCACAACCCTTGCCCAGGACTTGCTTGGACTTGTCCATCTGTGTCCCCAACAAGCTCGGAAACAATGATGTAAAAGAATAATCTCTTACAACCAGTTATATGGCTCTTGAAATACTGTTGACCATTTTGTGACATCAAGAATCGTGTAGATGCTTTGGTGCAAAGTGTCAGTAGAGAGTGGTGTTCTGACCAATTTGAAAAGATTTACTAAGTCTTTTCTTACAAATCAAATAAAGTGACACTTCTCAGTGGCAGAAGAAGTCACTGGTGAGTCGAAGAAGGCAAGCATCACTCCCATTTTCTGGAGTGGGAAAAAGGAAGACCCAGGGAACTACAGGCTGGTGAGCCTCAGATCTATGCCTGTGAAGATCATGGAGCAGAATCTTCTGGAAGCTATTTTAAGGCACATGTGAGATGAGGAGATGGTCTGAGACAGCCAGCACAGCTTCACCAAGGGCAGATCATGTCTGATCAATCTAATGGCTTTCTCTGATGGAGTGACAGCATCAGTAGACAAAGGGAGGGCAACTGATGTCACCTACCTTAACTTCTATATGGTCTTTGACATGTTCTCATGCCACATCCATATCTCTAAATTGGAGAGATACGGATTTTAGGGGTGGACAATTCAGAGGATAAGGAAATTGGTTGGATGGTTGCAGCCAGAGGGTTATGGTCAATGATTTTGTGTCCTGATGGAGTCTTAGAACTGGTACTCTTCAACAACAACAACCTGGAGAATGGGAATGAGTCTACCCTCAGTAGGTTTGCTGATGACATGGTGAGTGGTACAGTTGACACAAGAGAAGGCAGGGATGCCACCCAGAGGGACTTGGACAGGTTTAAAAAGTGGGAGCATGTGAACCTAATAAATTTTGACAATTCCAATTGTGGTGTGTCCTAACGAAATTAGGACAATCCCAGATATGTGTACAAAGTGAGAGAAGAACTCACTGAGAGCAGCCCTGCAGAAGCGGACTTGAAGGTCCCAATGAACTAAAGCTGGACATGAGCCAGCAGTGTGCGCTTGCAATCTTGAAGGCCATCTGTGTCTTGGACTACATCAAAAGACTGGTGGCCAAGAGGGCAAGGGAGGTGATTGTATCCCTCTACTCTGCCTTCATGAGCCCCCATGTGAAATACTGTGCCCAAGTCTGGGGCACCCACTGTGCAAATGATGGAGCTGTTAGAGCAGGTCCAGAGGAGGGCCACAAAGATGTTCAAATTTCTGGAGCATCTCTCTTATCAAGAAATGTTGAGGAAGCTGGACTTGTTTAGCTTGGAAAAAAAGAAGACTTCAGAGAGACCTGACTGTGGCCTTTTCAGTACTTCAGGTGAGTTTATAAACAGGAAGGAGACTGACCTTTTACATGTTCTGGCAGTGATAGGACAAGGAGAAATGACATTAAACTAAAAGAGGGAAGATTTAGGTTAGATGTTAGGAAGAAGTGTTTTCCTCAAAGGATGGTGATGCACTGGAACACGTAGCCCAGAGAAGCTGTAGATGCTTCATCACTGACGACATTCAAGGCCACATTAGATTGGGCCCTGGGCAGCCTGATCTAGTGGTTTAATACATATTGTTCTGTGCTCACATGGCATTATAGAATTGTTGAATCATAGAGTAGCCCAAGTTGGAAGCAACCCACAGGAATCATCAAGTCCAAAGTAGATTCCTTAAGTATCTAAAAAATCATATCTAAAATCCAATAAAAGGAGTATTGTGATTTGTGAACAGCACTAGTGTGCATTGTACAATCCCATATGCAATAGCCATTGTGCTACCTTAACCCTCTTTTATGCAACCTTACCTAAAAAATATACAGAAAATTAATCCAGCATTCATGTCATTTAGTGAACTTCCACATTCAATCCAACTCATCACTGGAGATATAAAATGTTTGGTTTTTTTTTTTTTATTTAAATGCAGATGACCTAGAATGCATTTGTGTTCTTTGAGTTCTGTGTTCAGGAGCTGTCAAGTCTAGGTGGTGACAGGATATTGGGCAGGATACTGGATAGTGGTAGATATGTGGATGGAGATAATAAGTATGATACCTGCTGGAAATCATATGTCTTCAATGCAGCAGAAGTATATTTCTCATGTACAGTCTGCATAGTTTTTTCAACTCTATTTGTAGCCACTGACCTGGGAACAGGCTCTTTACTGCTGTCTCCTCCCTGCAAAACAAAAAATAAATTTATCCATATTTATGTAGAAAAAACGTGAATTAATTGCTACGAGGTAAATGTAATAATAGTAGTTAGGCCTCCATTTTCTGATCACATAGATCAGATTGTGCTCTATTTGTGAGTTTGCAGCTGCTCATCCTGATGTCCAAAGAATAAGACTAAAATTGCTGGAATTCTAACCAACTCGTTTTTTTCTGCTGAAAACTAATCAGTTTGAATAGCTTTGTTCATATGTGCAAATAGGAGGAGCCTAGCAGAGCTCAAAAATACTGACAGTAGGCAACACTGTGTATCTGCAACATCAACCAGAAGCCATTTTGGACTGCATCAGGGAGATTTCCAGTCGTTCCTGGGTAGTTCATGGATTAGCTATCACAGTGGTTCTGTGAAGTGTATCTGGTGAAGGTAAAGCCACTAGCTCACTCAGCCTAAGCACAGGGAAAAAAACTAAGGCCTTTCCTGATGTATCTTTATGTATGTATCCTTAAATATTCCTAATTTATGGCCAAGAATACCCCTTGAAAATGTGATCTGTTATTATACTTCTATCACCTTTTCAGGATCAGTATCACATCTGTTGCAAATAAATGTACATGTTCCTTTTTTTTTTTTTCTTTTTTTTCTTTTTTTTCCCCAGTGCCTTGAAGTTTCAGAAACTGAGACTGGGTACACATTTTCTCACAGAAAGAGTCGTCTTTTATCCCCTTTCTCTGCTGAATGCATCTGTGGTTCCAAATCAGAACAGGCAGCATCTGAGATTCTTGCCTGAATAGAGAAGACATTGTCTTACTTGTGTCTGCCAGGCCATTCTAATCCATAGTTTGCCTGAAAAATGGATCCTATAGGACAAAAAGCAAGTTTGAAGGTCCTCAGTAACTGCAATCCAGTACTCGGGGTACATTTAGCTGTAAATGGAATTTCTCTTGCATGCTGACACTGAAAACTGTGTACTGACCCAGGAAATAAATTTTTATGTACATGTTCTCCTTCTATGACCTTGTTACTTTTAGTTCCTTAGCAGATGGCTGTAATTGGACATTAGTGTTCTGTAACAGTGCATTGTACCATTCATTTCTGAATGGAAGCTGCAGCTGCTTCAGTGATGCTTTCTTATCTACTTTGTCTTCAAAAAAACATGGTTCTGGTTTATCTTGTTGAAATGTACAATCTTCTATAAGTACATCCAGTTATTCATAAATATGCAAATAATTCCAGACCAAGTGTTCATGTTGTATTATTAATTTTTATTTCTGATGCAGACGTGACCGATATGATTTTACCTAGCTATCTGATCCCAAACCAATCTACAAGTGGAAAGTTAAAGTTTTATGTGTTATCTGAGACAGATCTACTTCCTGATTCATCATATGTGCCAGAAATATACTAATGGATCCATAAAAGAAGAAAAAGAAAGAGGAAGAAATCCATGTCAACTAGGTCTTGTTTGAAAGAGAAAAATCTTAAAATTCTAAAGTGCAGAGGTGTAACAAGAGAAAGTGAAGTGATTTATGACCAGTGGTTCCTATGAACAAGAGTGACACATTCCTTGTTTTGTACTACAGGCTTGAAAAAGAATTCTAAGGTGCAACATTTATGTCTGCCAGTCCTGCTTTGAACTGTTGCAATTTTTCTTTGCAATATTATCTTTTCCTGTTCTGACTCACTGTCTTCTTGAATCCACTGTGCATCCATTTAAGTGAGCTACAAGCTGCCTGTTTCAGGTATTAGGCAGTTTTCTTTCTGCAAAAACCTGTCTATAAAGTTCTTATGCAAGGGGGCACAACTATTAATCTTCACTGCACTTACAGTCCTTAATTACACTTGAGTGCAATTCTGTCTTGAAATTCTGTGTCACAATGAACCTGATTTGTGGTCTTGCACAAACTACAATTCTTTATGATGGTCTTTCTGTGTCCTATTTAAGGACAAAGTTCCATCCCTTTCCAATTTAACACTGTCATTTAAGAATGGAATACTAATGTCCAGTTCAAAATATGCATCACATGCTTGGTCTATTTTTTTTTCTTCAGCTGTAGGAAGAAGGCCTGTCACAAATTTCAGGAACACTTTCTGTGATAATAAACAGTTTAAGAGTGTAGTTTCGTAGTTTGCTTAAAGTGCTCCTTGCAGTCTTTTTTTTAGTAACACGGAGAAGCTTGCTCATCTGTCTAAAAGTCCAGAAAAAAAGTGATTAAAAATCCTTCATGTGAACACTTTAGTAGAGTTGCTGTAGTTCAGGAACTTTCTGGAACACCTTCTGGAGCATATCAATTGCATTTTTTAAGGCAGCAAATCTTATGTCAAGATCAACTGGCCAACGCCAGTTCTCTCAGCCAGTCCTCGTAATACTTGTTTTCTACTCCCTTCACCAGCTGTATTGCTCTTTTCTGCACATGCTCAAGCAAATCAGTATTCTTTTTATAGTCAGGAACCCAAAATGGAACACAGGTGTGATTTTAACAGTGCCGTGTGCAATTGGTTTGGTAGTCCTGCTGGTCATACTATTTCTGATACAGAAATGTACTCAATACATCCCACACCCTCTGGTTATTGTTCATCTTTGTACCTTTTCTTCTTCAAGCTGAAGACAAAAGTGGAAATAACTCAATAAAGTATATGTCTCTATTCCATTTCCATCTCACTTTTTTTTTTTTTACTTTTTTCTTTTTTTCCCACTTCTGTTTAACAGGAAAGTGATACAGTTTGACATGAATGTATGTGAAGAAGCCTGGCATCCACACATCAGTTAGTAGTGCTTTGTAGTCCTTACCCTGGACTTTTAAGTGTACTTGAGTCTGATCTTCCCTCTCCATCCTCACAGCCTATATATGGAAAAAAATCTCTTTCTTAGGTATTCTTTACATAACGACTAGTCTCTTATTTAAGAAATAAGAAATGGACTAAAAAGAGAGAGTTTTCTTATATATATTCCACTGAAAGATCATCCTTTGCATCCAACTCAATTCTTTTTTTCACCCAAGAGAATTTTCTCACCCTTTTTTTTTCTTGTGTACATCATCACTCATGGCTGATTTTTGTAAATCTTGTTATCTTCTTTCAGATATGGAATTTCATGAATCTAAGTACATGAAAATGAAACTAGAATTTCTTTTGTTTATAATGACTCCTAGAACTTTCAATAATGTTGGCCTAGGATAAATAACCATGTATGGCTTAGAAAATTATTAATATACAATGCTTTGACAGATTTTACTTCCTGTTAGTAAAATTGTTGATGGCTGGTAGTTTCTGTAAAGGTTAAAATACTTAATTTCCTATTTTTGTTGTGTAAGGAATCTGTAGAGTATGTCTCTACAAGTTTCAGTTTCTGCTGAGGTTTTTAGTTTTTATTTTTTGGTGGTGATTTTTTTTTATTTTTTAATAAAATATACATTCTTTGTGGGTGTACTTTACTATTGAGAGGTAAAAACCAGAAATAATAATTTGACCTTTCACTGTTGAAAGCATAAATATTTATCGCTCTCTTTAGTTATGTTTACTGGATTTGAAAAAGATTAGATGAATAGTAATATTGAACACTAATAGTACGTGGCCTTGTGACCTGTGGTGAACTGTAATTGTTCTTAGTTAAAACTCTTCCATATTGTTTTTAGAGATTTCCAGTATAAACACAGATAGGTTAAGGTGCACCAGCATTTGGAAGCCTACCATCTGGGAAAGATGGCATGCTTTGAAGAGAGTGCTCTTGGAGTGACAGGAAGCACTAAATTTCATAGACATGAGAAATGATAGTGTTAATGAGCTTCTCTCTTCAGTAGTACCGAATTATTTACCTCTTCCCCCCCCCCCCCCCCCCCCCCCAAAAAAAAAAAAAAAAGATCAGCAGCATGGAATATCTCTTCTTAGTAATAACAAACAATAAATTATTTATACAGGTTATCAAGTAATTCATAGTTCTGAGTCAGGTGTCTGTTGTACAGCTATTGCTTGAATATAAAACCAAAAAATGATTCTTAGCTAGAAGTTCTCAAAAAAGTTGAGAATAAATAAAGTTTGCCCTTTGGTTATTACCTTTCTGAGCCACAATGGGAGAAACTATGGAGGGGAAATGGAAAGGGCTAGCTGTTACCACTGGTGTTATTCATCAGTTGCTCAAATTTCATATGTTGTTAAGAAAGATGTCAACCAAAACCTATCTATGAGCTGAATGAATTACTTTGTGGAAGACAGTCTGCTCTTACCTATTTCTTTGTTCTTTACTCCTCAGTTATGGGAAAGGATTAGATATTTACTGTGCACAGAGTGCAGTTGGACTTTATAAATCAAATGTTGTCAGGACTTTGAATTTGCTGTGCATTTGCAGACTGACTGCTGTGTGCATATTTGTGTTGAAATGCAGGCAGTGAGACTCAAACCTGGGGGAAGGTAGGATGTCAACTGAATTCAGACTTGTCACTTAAATCTTGTTCTATGAGTCTATTACTTTTCAATACACTCAACTCATTAAATAAAAAAATTTCTGCTCATGACTGACCCGCTCTTAGAGGCTTCTCCTCAGTCCCACATATTTATTCTTCTGCAGGTGTTTGGCTGCCTCTAGCAGTACAGCTATAAGTTAAAATGAGTCCTGAGCTCCTCCTCTTTGAGTCTAAAATTTGCAAAGAGCACCCAACTTCACTATCTCTTTATACATATAAGCACAAATGGCTTTGAAACATTCATTTACACTTGGTTTACTGCAGTTACTAGCACAATTTTAAAATACACATGTTCTACTCACAGGAGCTGCCTGCAGTTTAAGCATAAAGCACTCCTCAAAGACAAGTTAAAAAAAAGAAAAAAAAAAAAAAAGAAAAAAGAAAAACTTAGGAATAATGAAAAATTACTTTACCTATTATGAGTGCCCCATAGTCCATCTACGTTTTCTTTTTTTTCTTTTTTTTTTTTTCTCATGTAGTGATCTGCTTTCCAGATGGCCCTTTCGCATGTGCAGGTGTGCAGCTGCTGAGTTCAAAGTACTGAGCAATTGGCTCATGGCTACTACTTGTTTAACCCTTGACTCTCCCTGATTGTATGTGAATTTACTGTGAACTGGAATTGAACTGGATTTTTTTAAAATGTTTTCTTCAGAGGAAAAAAAGAAATATTCCACTAGAAATCTGTTAATTTGTGTAACATTTTTAATCTATTGGGAACTGAGCTGTTTTAATGCTATCAATCAAAACATGTAAAGTTACACTAAGCCACTTTACTCAAAATTAGAAGGTATAACTAATTCCAGAAATGTTTTTTCTTATTACAGATGCAGGAAAAAACTGGCTTGGGGACAGCACAGAGCACTCCAGTGTGCAGTCCTTTTTTCCTTTGTATCCTTTCTCCCTTCAGTTTGTGCATTAATATTTTTTCACAAGAAAACTGAAGCAAAGAGAAAAGATCCCAAATCATTTGAGATAATCTTCCTTCATGAGAAGTATCCAGTTTACTACCACTATAGATATGCATTCACAAATCTTGGAAGTCATAAAGAACAACTTTTGTAAAATCAGATACCTGAGGTATGGACAAAGCAATGTAACTAAATGTGTAGACAGGTGCTTACTTACAGAACCAATACCATGCTTTTAGAGATTTATTACCCTACAGCTGTTCATTACACTGAAAGAGGATAAATGGATTAATATGTGAGTGCTCCAAGTTCATTTCAGCACAGAGTGAAATAAGCTCACATAAATTAGAATAAGTAATATTAAGTAGCTACTGTTTTTTTTTTCTTTTGTTGTTGGTTTTTTTTTTCCTGTTTTTTTCTTTCTTATCTGAGTGCCCCAAAATTAAGCTGTGTTTATTTAGTTCAGTTTTGCTGATCATCAAAACACTATCTTTTCTTGCTATTTGAAATTTTATTCCTAATGTATTTTATTTAGACTACTTAAATCTTTGCTTAGGAATTAGATGCAAACTATACCAGGAAAAGGAAAATGCAAATTTTGCTGCAAAAAATAGGTAATCAGTTTGTGTGTTGTAGATTTGTAGGGACTTTATTCCATAGATTTTTCTAGATCATGATACAACAGACATATTCTATGATTTAGAATTATGGCTAAGTTTTACTGCTGCTTAGAATTCTGGGTAAGTTTTAGAGCCTGTAGATGAGAAAATATAAAATAAAGAATATGAACATAAGGTGACTAAAGATTTAGTAAAGGAAGACAGTAAGTTATGCTGCAAAGGTAAACTATCAGATTATAAGGATCACTAAGGATGTTTTTTGGTGAATTTTGTTTTTAATAACTGTGTGAATTATTTTTTTATTTAAAAGGGATTCCTAATATTTTATTTTCTGATAATATGTGCTGGGGAAACTTCCAAGAAAGGAAAAAGCTTTGTTAGGTTAAATGTTATACTGTCATCTGAATGTACTACATATATTCTCCACTAACATGGTGGACATATACTCTTCAAAAATTAAAAAAAAATGAGAAAAGCCTTAAAAACGGACATTTTGTGGACATATTCATAGAACGACAGAATATCCTGACTCGGAAGGGAGAACATCGAGTCAGGTTGGATGGGGCCCTGGGCAGCCTTGTCTAGTATTAAATGTGAAGGCTGGTGGCCCTGCCTGTGGTAGGGGGTTTGGAGCATGATGATTCTTGAGATTCTTTCCAACACAAGCCATTCTCTGATTCTCTGATTCTATGAGTCCATCTCCAGCCTCCACACAGCATCACCCGGAATTCAAACCCTGTGTCTAAGAATGTTGTCCATCTCTTTGACAGGGACGCCCTGAGACCTTCCTTCAAACTTCCCCTGGCTGAAAAAGCTCAGAGACGTCAAAGATTCTTCATACACATTGCCCTCTAGAATCTTCACCATCTTTGTAGCCCTCCTTTGGACACTCTCTAATAGTTTTATGTCCTTTTAGTACTGTGACAACTGAAGCTGCACATAGTGCACTGTGTAGAACATTATAAGAAGCCATGTTCAGAAGTATAGCAAATTCTGCCAGAAAAATTAAAATACAGTGCAATGCAAAAAGATAATTTATCATAAATAAAACAAAAAAAACTCCAAGCTAACTCTTCAGCTTGAGCGCTGCTGCATTTCACTGAAGTCACAAAGTGTCTTAAACTATTGTTAATATCCTGACCATAAGACAATTGATGATTGCACAACTGCAGGGTTTGAGTAAAATATTATTAAGTGCCTACTATTTCTAAATGTATTGAATTATTTGAAATATCATATCTGACTATTTAAATTAAGGAGTTTTTATAATGCATTAGTCCAGGTGATCCATTATGGGGTAAGCATATGCAACCTCAATTGTAGCATTTCTTTGCTAATATGCAGAATTTGTGTAATTATTTTAAAAAATATTTATTATTCATTGCTGCAATTGCATTGCATTTTTGGTTTTGTGTACAAATCGTACCCAGGGCTCTGCTACCTGTATTGTAGTTTCAGTACTATCTTATAGGTGAGGTTTAATTTTTTTAACCTCTTGCAAATATCAACCAGAAAAAAACATTTTTGACATGTCTGCACAAAAAACCCCCCCCAAACTTGTGCACATGTAATGGAAAAATAAATAAGATAAAATAACCCAAAACCTTAATAAGAGGAATTATAGCACTTGATAAAGTCCTTGGGAATTGCAATAGGTACAAATAAAGCTTCCAGTCTTTGAAAAGATCAATGGCAGGTAGGCAGTCTCCTTTTGGTTATATTTCTTCTATTGTTCTGGTATGGACAATTACCATGTCAAAGGACTTAACCAAGTGCTTTAAAATGTCATTAATTTTCTTAAATGAAATGTATCACAGGAAATAGCTCCAGTGCTTAATTTCAGAAGGTTGGATAATATACTGTGGACCTATCTTGGGACAAGCAGTCCTCTAACATTTTGTTTGCCCTTGAGATTTAGAAGGAATCATATCTATAGTATTCATAATAAGTAGCAATTTAACCAAGTTCAAATTAGATGTGAACAAATGGATTAACAAGCACCTCATTAAAATTTTAATTTCCATTTCATTTATCATTTTAATAGAATCAATTTTGTTTCAGGGTGGGGGAGGATTCATTTCTAAGTCTAACATTAATTTCACTTGTTTTTATCAATAGCTTGGTATATATATACATATATTTCTGCAAAACGTACTTTGTATGGTTTCCAAGTATCTGATATGCACATAAATGCATAAAGATTAAGGAAAATTCAGAAGAACTCGCTGTACATTTTTTAAAGTACTGAACTTTACAGTACGGTTGTCTCTAGTATTTTCCTCTAAAATGTTGATGTGTGCTTGCTGGTAAAGATTTGAAGAAGAATAAATGAATTTAAAATAAGTCAATATTGAGGAGTTACTTTCAGTGAAATTATTTAAATAGCATTGTAAATATTTCAGAACTAAAATCTGACTTTTGAACTTTACTTTTAGATTTGACCTTCAAAGCAATATTTAAAAGTACTTTGAATCCCTTAGATAGCATATATCATAAATGTGTGCAGAATTTTCGTAATTTAATATTTTTTCTCTCAAATCTATTAGAAAACTCCAACTTAAATATATCTGTTATTGAGAAAGGATTTCACAAAAAAATGCAATTCATAAATATGTGTTTTAGTAACATTTTTATTTTCAGGGAAAAAAATAAAGGAATATAAGAATTGCATTTTGTGGTGGTTTGTCTGTCTTTTGAATTTCCTATTTCCAGTAGTGATATGTTTCAAGTTTTACATGCTGATTTTTAGTTAAGCTTCTTTTTACAAACATGTTATTCCTGAAAATGTTTCTTTAATGTTGTTTTCCATTTTATACTGACACACATTATACTGATCATTGTCAGACACAAAATCATTATTTAGAGACATTTTTTTGTGTACTGAATGAAATACATATACTATGTATTTTACAATATGAATGTAAAATTGGAAAGTCTTGATTAAATAATATAGAGAGATTCAAAACACCTTTAAACATTGATATGGGAATGGAAGTAGTTTTTACTCTAATGGCAGACTGTGTGCAAGAGAGAGAAAAGAGTGGAAATAACATGTCAGACTTGTGAGATTTTTATCACATGTGTTTTAGACAAGAGAGGCAAAAAATTTAAAAAGAAGCCACATTTAAACCTATCTGAAAAATAATCACAGAATCACAGAATCACAGAATTGTAGGGGTTGGAAGGGACCTCCAGAGATCATCGAGTCCAACCCCCCTGCCAAAGCAGGTTCCCTACAGCAGGTAGCACAGGTAGGCATCCAGGCAGGTCTTGAACATCTCCAGAGAAGGAGACTCCACCACCTCCCTGGGCAGCCTGTTCTAAAATGCTTATTTAAGATGGAGAAAAGTGTATTAGACTCCAAGTACATGGGTGCACATCAAGGCTAAACTCAGTGTTTGTCAGCCTTTTTTTTTTTCTAAATAATTATTATTAAAATGGAATATTGTACTCAATTTTAGATATTTGTATTTCACTAAATTTATTGCAGCTACTATTATTGTTGATTCTTTATATTTAATCTAATCTGCAGTCTCTGTGTGGCACAAAATCTTACATAGGCACCAGAGAATAATAAAGTTGTAGAAACACAGAATCGTTTGAACTGGAAGGAACCTTTAAAGGTCATCTGGTCCAGCTCTTCTGCAATGAACAGGTAGGATCAGGTTGCTTGGAGCCCTGTTCAGTTCCAGTGCTTCACTAACTTAATTGGAAAAAAAAACCTTTTCTAAATATCCCCTTTCACTTTGAAACCATTTCCCTTTGTCCTATCACAACAGACCCTGCTCTCCTTTCTCATTAGATGCTGAAAAACAAACAAACAAACAAACAACTAAACCCCTCTCCAAACAAAAAAAAACCCAGGAGTTAAGTTAGATAACTTTAAAAGTAGCCAATTACATAGCAAAGCACAGATTCCAGATTTCATATTTTTCAGTTGAAGTGGTTCTGAGAACACAGAGGAATTTTCTTTATCTTGTTAAG